TGTGTGTCTGTGTGTCTGTGTGTGTGTGTGTCTGTGTGTGTGTGTGTCTGTGTGTGTGTGTGTAATGGGGGGTGGGCACTTGACAAAAGGCTGGTCCTCAGCTAAAAAATGGGTTGGCAGGGGGCTTCAGAGAATAGCCAGGCCTTAGAAAGGTCAGGACAGTAGCCCCAAAGATGCTCCACCCAAGCACACCAGGAAAATGAGATCAACTCTTTCCACATAGGTCAGGTGATAGATCTAACATGTCCTATAAAAGTGTTCAGTTCAGAGCTTGCATTCCCCTCTTTCCTCACATCTTAATTTTGTATCTCAGGTCACAATTCTGCCCAGAGATAGTGATAGGCGGCAAGGGGAATTCTTATACAGATAAAGGTTTACAGGTTTGTGTTGATGTTTCTGCTATACCTGGATGGTCGCTGCTGGCATAGGCCAGCAAAAAGCCCCGCCCAGAAGTGTGGGATCCACTCACAAAGCGAACAGTTACTTCACTGGTGTTCAGCAAGAGTTCTTTGGGAACACTCATACTTCCACAATATGGTCCTAAAAACAAAGCACATTTTTGGCACATTTCAAAATTTAGACCAGCACAAAGAATTGGTATGTGGCATTTTTTCCATTAATGGTCAAATGCACCAGACAACACATATGTAAGATTGTAACCATCACTCAACTGGAATTTTAATACTGAGACTGATAGTGAACCTGATTATATTGATGAGCCAAGGGGGGAAAGGGGCTAACTCTGGAAAAGTAATAGGCTAGAACTAGTTTGTGGACAACCCAAGAGATAGGTTTTGGGTTTTGTAAAAATAAGACTAAGGAACAAAGGTCAAATACATTAAGTAGTAAAGAAAATTTTATCACAAAAGTGATACTCTGGGGGCCTCTTAAATTTGCTTAAAGAATTGTCTAAATATTTGTGTCCTCTCAAAATTCACATATTGAAATCCTAATGCCCCAATGCGATGGCATTAGGAGTCAGTCTTTGGGAGGTGCTTAGGTCATGAGGGTGAAGCCCTCTTGAATGGGATTAGTGCCTTTATAACGGAGGCCCCACCGAGCTTGCTTGTCCCTCTACCATGTGAAGACACAGAGACAAGGCTATGAGCCAGGAAGTGGGCCCTTACCAGCCACTATACTGAATATGCCAGCACCATGATCTTGGACTTCCCAGATCCAGATTAAATGAAATAAATGTCTGCTGTTTTTAACTTATCCAGTCTGTGGTATTTTGTTACCGACTAAGACAGGTAGTAAAAAAAGTTATCACAAAAGTGATATCTAGGGGCCTCATATATTTTGCTCAAAGAAACTGTCAAATTCCCATTTTTAAGGAGGTTCCAGAATTAAAAGACTGTCCAATGCATGGTAAACATTATATTCTCATTCAGTTTATACATTTATCTCTCTCTTACAGTAGCTTCTGGGTAACCCATATAATTTATTTTGATTTGTAAAATAAAGTTCATAAGAAAGCAGAATAATTTCTAAAGCCTTTTGAAATAACTTAGTATAAATTATGCAATTAAGAGTATTACATATTGTTTCTAGAATAAGTTGCTTGAAAAGCAATAGGAAGCTCAATGAACTTTCAAAGGACAAAAATTAGATTTGGAGCTTAAAAAAAACAAAATGTCTTCCTAAGACCACTTAAGTTAAAGTATAATTTGTTAACTGTCATCTTAAAAGTTATATATGCAAGACATAATAATTTCTCTGAAAAAAGGAATTAGCAAGCAGATTTTTAAAAAATTTTATTGATTGATTTTATAGAGAGGGAGAGAGATTTGTTGTTCTATTTATTGATGCATTAATTGGTTGATTGTTGTATGTGCCCTGACTGCGGATTAAACCCACAACCTTGGTGCATTGGGACAATGCCCTAACCGGCTGAGCTAACCGGCCACGGCAGCAAGCAGATTTTGAAGACAGGTATTCTTCATCAACTTCTCCCAAAATAAAACAGTATGGAAAGAGTCCACAGCAACCACATCATCAGGTTAAGGAAGGAGAGGAAAAGAAACAGACCCCTCTAACTCAAAGTGAGTAAAATTGATGACATTGGCTAAAACCAACCGAGGGTCCAAACTGCTAACAGATTCAGGTGACGATCATAAACCCAACTAAGCATTCCTCTCCTGCTGTAGGAGGTAGGATTCCTCTTCTGTCCTGTCCTGGGCTCACGTCTTGAGAACAAGAGAGAAATGCTATGTGTTTACCTTCATGCCCCAAATCACTGTTGTTCCCTGTTGTTAAATTACAGTGAAAGCCAAATAAAAAAGATCACTTCCCTCTTTAGAAACACTCATCATATATAATTACTTACATGAGTTAATACTTGCAAATTACTTAGAAGCGTATCTAGCATATAACGAGAGCTATGTAAGTACTTGTGAAATAAATAAATGAATACATTAAAACAAGTGAACAAATAATGTCTGTTTTCCTTCTACACTATGTCCCAGAGGGGTAGGAAGTTTTCTCTCCAGCACTTTATCTCCAGCAGCTCCTACAATACCTGGCATGTGGTGGACTCCTAAATACTCTTTAAATTGCAAGTGTGTTTTTAAAAACATGCTTTTAACACACTTTGTGTTTTAAAAAACACACTGATTATAAAGATAAATAAAATATTTCATCCTATCATTTTTAAATATCATGAAGAAGTCAGGAGGAGAAGTGTGGAAAAGCCAGAAAGGAAATCATTAGTGTAATGAATACATGGATTTTTATGAATGTTAATGGTGTTCACAAGCATGGTACATAGGCAATTTATACTAAACCCATTTTTGTATAAAAAAATAGAATGATTAGTATTTTTTTAAAATTAAAATAAGTCAGGTGACTGTGCCTGACTTCTGCAACTTATTCTGTTTGTTTACATATGTTTGAAATTTCTTTGTTCTTTGCAAAGTGAAGATACTTGTTTCACAAACCTAAGAATAAAAGTGAAATAACTAGCAAATTGTTGCTGTTAATAAATCAGAATATTTTTCTAACCACGGTTATCATTTCCTAGAGGAAAAAATAACATGTATTCCTCTCCAAATGGTGATGATATGAATCTCTCCTTAAATTTCTACAGCATTCCAATGAGTTCTAATAAAAACAATGAAGTACACAAGTCTAAATTATCACTAAGAAACTGTTTGGAATTTTTTTTTAGTTGAAATCTATTTGACATATAACACTGTGTCAGTTTAAGGTGTATAACACGTTCATGATATATTTATATATTTTATATATTTTAAATATTTATATTTTTAAATATACAATGATCACCACTGTAGGAATAATTAGCATCTCTATCATGTTACATAATTATCCTCTCTTTTTAGTGTTTGGGATAATTAAGTTCCAGTGTCTCAGGAAGTTTCATGGTTCTAATACAACACTGTTCTATACTCACTACACTGTGCATTACATCTCCCGGCTATGGCTTATTCACTGATTGTAAGTTTGTACCCTTAAATATCTCTCCTACCCACCCCCTCACCCCCTGGTGACCACCATTTTATATTGTTTCTATGAGCATGGCTTTTTTAAATTTCACATATGTGCTTTCATACTGTACTTGTCTTTGTCTGTCTGATCTCTCTTAGCACAATAGGCTCAAGGTTCACCCATGTTCTTGCAAATGGCAGGATGTCCTCCTTTCTCATGGCTAAACAATTATAATTTTATTTTTTATGTTTATGGTACAGTTGAAATGAAAGGTTGCAAAATTGTGTATATTTTACACAAATAGGTAAGTGTGTATGTCATCACACAGAGCTGTTATACAAAACATATGATTTTCTAGACCAAAAAACCCCACATCATTATAGTAAAACTCTATAATTTGGTTGTATCCTCCCAAAGTCATGATAGGCATGCAAATATTTCTGGAAGAAGTTCAAAGAAAGAAAACATAAACACACACACTCTTTTAATCACCCTTACCCCAGAGACACCAATCCCGTCACATTCTTATTGACATGCTGAAAAAATGTAGCTAAATCCTAGAGGGAATGGGATATACTCTCTATATAAACGCCATCAATAAAAATTATTTTGATGGGTTCTTTATGTTACAACCATCGCAACAGCAGGAGGCGGTTTTAGTCCAGGGTGGGGGACAGAAGTTAAGGACTGGCTGCTACACTGCCTGTGGCAAAGTCACGAGGACAATAAAAAACATCCCAATTATTGCCTGTCTGAAAGTCTGGCAGATACAGACTCCTTTTCGGAGACTGGAAGTTAATAATTGCATTCCTAGAGTTAAAAGGGAAGAGAGATGAAAACAGAAAAATCTGAGCGGCAGTGAGAGGGAAAAATAATTAATGGGAACCCACTAAAGGAAGCTGTGCGTCTGCCCTGAGCAGAGCTCTCGGTTTTCGGCCAGGCTCCTTGGGGATGACCCTTCCTCATGGAAGCCTCTCTGCACCCACATCTGCCCAAACGATAGAGTTCGCTGTTCCTATTCTGCATCCTGACTTTTAAAAAGGGTCCACAACCATGCTTAAGCGTTCACGAAGACGGTATCACTGGACGCCCAAATGTGAGCGTGGTGACCTCTACCTCTGACTGCGGCTGAATTCTCCATCCCGGGCTGGATCCCTGGATCGGTAAACCTGTCTCAGTTCCCAGCAAGGCTGACCCCCACCCCGTCCACGGTGGGTCTTCAGACCTAAAAGCAGGCATCACAGCTCTGCTTCACAGCTGCCGGTGCTGTGTTGCACAGAACTCGGACCTGCCGTCTAACCCCACCTCCCTCCCCTCCCTCCTTGCCTGAGGCAGGTCCCATCTTCCTGTACAGTTCCAAGTTCCCTCAGGGGGGGCGCCGCAGAAAGACACTTCATCAAGTAGGCAGAAAAATCAGGAAAAGTGAGTATTTGGACCTTTTGTGGAAGGTAACTGCAGGCCTGGGCTGTGGGAGGAGCTCTCAGGGATCCCAAAGGGAACGGCACTGTGGCATCTGGCACCCGACATGAGGCCAAGACCTGGCCGGCAATGGACTGACGCCTTGGCCAAAAGGGAGACAGGCCAGGAGCCACAGGGGCTGACTTCTTTGAGCGCAGTGGCCAGTTCCTCTCTACACGTCCCTTGTTTGGGGCCCCTGTTCCATGGAGAGCTGAGAGGGGAAACCCTTTATCTTTCCGTGTGTGAGTGTGAGAAAGCTGTCCCACAGGGAGGAGTGAGGCGTCTGCCCAGGGCCAAGCCGGGAGCCCTCCTGGTTCTCTGGCGGTCGGACCATCCAGGCAGCCATGGCTACTCCTGCCCCATTCCCCAGGGGCTGCCTGCCTGAGTCTCTGGGCATTTCGAGGCAGTCACAGTTTGTTTACTAACTGTTCCAAGTCACTTTAGGTGGGTCTATGCTTTTGAGCTTGAAAGTGATGAAACTAAGTAATTGTTTCACCTGTGAAACGGACAGATTTCAAAAATGGATGCACAATTTAAAAAGAGAGAGAGCCCTCCCCCTGCACAACCACTCGCTCAGTGGGGACAAACGCAGAGACCAAATGAAAGCCTAACTCCGGAGAGATCTGTCAGAAATCAAA